GAACGCCTTCTTTCAGCAAAGCCACTGTGGGCAAAACATTGCTTAGGAAAGATAAACAAAGAGAGTAATAGGCTTTTAAGGAGTATTCAGCAACCCTTGGAAGATTGTGCCATGAGTTTGCTACTACAGAGAGTTACTTTGAGATTCAAAAACACTTAAGAGAATGATGAAAAGGAAAAATACTACTGTACACAGAAAGCTTGTGAGTGCCCTACTGAACCACATTTTGAGAAGTCTTCCAATGTCTGCATATCAAAAGTGCTGTATCCCACTATTTTAATTATTATAAACTTCACAAATTGTTATCCATTTAAGGAGCTCATGTTTCTGCCAAGTTAAATGACTTCAAAACTGATAGGTTACATGCTTCAACTCTGATTCATTCTTGACTGGTTCTGATTAGAAAAATAGGACAAAAGACAGTGTGTTTTTGGGGAGAAAAATCTGAATGGAATATAAATTTTTGTTGCAAAGTTTTATTCCAATAAAACATACAAGCTTTAATAGTAGTGAGTACCTTTATGAGAAGCAAAATATCAAACACTTTGTTAAAAAGAAGAATACTAGATCAATTTTTTTACTAGCACCAGCCAAAGAGACAAAATGTGATATAGTTGATAAAATGCTGGAAAACAGCAAACATTCTTTTGCATCTCTGCATACAGATTTTATTTCCCAAACTGTTAAATACAATTCAGTAGTGCTAGTAACTACTTTTTTCCCTTTAAATTTTTCTGTGCTTTTTTTTTGTTTGCCTTTGGGTTTTTCTTCTCTTCCTCTGCTTGCAGCATTGCTTCATGAGCTGCCAGCTCTTCTTGTTTTCTGCGCTCAGCCTCTAGCAGCTTACTTCTGTACGCTTCCCGAATGCTGTGAACTCTGCCTCGTGTTTCATCTAAGGATGCCTAGCCAAAAACAAACAGCAATACCCGCCCCCAACACGTGAATCTTGATTTTAACACAAGCAACTGCATTCTTCCTGTTGTTTCACTTTGTGGCTCTATACGTAGAGGGAGGGCATCTCTCCTTTTCTTTTTACATGTATTTTTATTGATTTGTCACAGTGACACAGCTATATGTCAGTCTTTTCACCAGGAAGAACAGGAGAAAGTTCATGAAAATCCTTTTTATGTGGCTGGCATAATAAGCTAATTGTGTGAAAGGAGGATAAGGCAACAGATTAGTTACCCATCTTGGTCTAATCCCAATTTAGTTACTGGCTTGTTTTGTTGTCCTAAACAAATCCCTTAAAACCTAATTTTCAGAAATGCTGAAATGGCTTAGGAGCTCTGGTCTTGTAAGAGAAAAAAGGAGCATAAATCACATTGACCTTCAACAAGACTTAGGGCAAGTGGGACTGGGATATTTCTGAAAACTTTTTACTCTACGTTTCCATCCTGGAAAATGGGGATACTTGGATCCCTTTCTATAGTTCTCTTTGGTCTACAGATGAAAAAACTGTAAAAATGCTAATCAGCACAGTATTCACAATATTCACAAGTAAGTCTCAAATTAGTACTATGAAACATCTTTAATGGACATGCTTTCTATAAAAAGCCAAGGAGCTACTCTGAATAAAAATTTGCCCTTCTAATATATGGTATGCTAGGCATCCAAAATCATAGCACCATCTGAAAACCTGGGCAGGCGTTCTTGTTAGGGATCAATCAGTCACTGGTAGAGAACTATGGCTCCTTGCAGACTTGCAGTTAAGTAATATAAATCAGGCTGTCTGGGAACTTGTTCAGGAGATATTTTCAAGTGATTTCTGTAAATATGTTGGTTTGATGTAAAATTACTTTTACCATCTCTTATCCGGGTTTAAGAGCTCGGAATAGTCACTGGCTTATTGATAGCTGTTATTGTGTGACCACTGTGTAACAAAACATTCTGTTCCTGTTGACACTCAAGGGTTAAGCCCTTTTGTTAAGATATTTGTACCAATTTCATGTGCAATGCATTGGGCGAGTTAATCCTAACAATGGATCCTACACTAATGCTACCAAATTTATTATTTATAGACATGTTTTTTTAAGGATTAATAATTCCAATTCTTTGTTTATTGGCATCATGCATACTCCAGGAAAACTGTGTTTCCTGACTTTGCTGAAAGACACATTAGGAGCAACTCACCCTCCTATGTAAATTATCTTGTTCTTTATTATTTGCCAAAAAGCCCTTTACAATTCCATAACCCCCCAAAACCAGCCAAACCAGACATGTTTTATCTAATATGCATCTGGTCATAGATATCAAATGCTCAATTTTTTCTCACTTTTAACTATCCTTTTATGGTGATATTCTTAAATTAGTGTTTTTGCAAAGAGCTGTATCAAGAAAGTACTAAGAATATCATATTAAGGATGTTGTGTAGTACTGTTTTTTTTCCCTATAACCTTTGCTTTTAACCTTTGCCCAAGTGAAATTTCAAGCTTGTTCACTGTTTCTAATTATTGGTACTGAATACAAAAGTCTTGAGAATGGTTGATCAAGTATTCATACTAGTGGTGGATATCACAGTAACAGTTAATCTTGAAAACCTACCTGCAGACTCTCATACATTTCAAGTATATTTTGCTTCAATAAAGCTCTGTCATTTTGTTCTTTTTCTCTTTGTTCCAAAGCCAGCTCTCGAACTTCCCTGAAATGGTTGATTTTTTCCACTTTACATTTCTCTTGTTGTTGAATGATAGAGTCACTTCTTAGCACAGACTCAGTCTTTGTTTTTCTGAAGGAAATACAAAAATATTTGTCTCATTTCAAACACAGCTTTGGATAGTGTATATTTTGCTTAACACCTACATGCATATATTTGGCTTATATACTGCAATGTCACCATTGTATGATTAGATATGGTTAAAGAGTCACTTCTCGTCTGCTTATATATAAACCTGATGAGAAAGCACATTCCTGAGGCCAGGTCTTCTTATACTTGAGTATCTATTTCTAAAATATTTGTAAAATCATACTCATCTTTGAGCATATGAAAAACTCCTACATATGAAACTTATTATTAATTTGCTAGAAATATCATATTTCCAGAATTTTTTGATATTATAATTCAGCATTGAGACAAATGTAATTTCTTTTTTGCCATTGGCATAATGGCAGCTAAGTACATAATATATTTTTATAATTTGACTTAAATGACTAGTGTAAAAGTCAAGGAGTTGAAGACAAATGAAATGCTTACAAGACTCAAGGCCGTGGAAGGTATTTTGCCATATTTTCTACTGTTCTAATGTTATTCACTTCCACATAACACCAGTTTCCCTTTCAATTTAAAATAAAATTTGGGGATTTTTTCAGCATGTTCTAAGGTCTTTTGAGAATCAGTGAGCTGCATAAATGCCACAGTGAATACAAATGGACTTAAGCATGAACTGGGTTCTAGCTGCAGCACAGCAAAAATGCAGGTGCATGTATATTAGCTAGATAGGTTCATATCAACACATGTAATACAGAATATAGCTCTTTTGAATAAAGAATATAATTAATATAATTATTTCAGTTATTTACTATTATTATTAACTGAAATGAATTTGTTAATTATATTATTTGAATCTAGCATCACATTCTGACAAACTTCATATGCACTTCTTTCAAGATGACCACTGAAATAAACATATTTGCCTGCACATGCCTTTTCTTCAGATTTTTATGTCACATTCTCATTACATGCAGTGCAGTGATTCAGCTCCTTTGACATGTATTATGTGAAGGAAAGGACATAAACTATAAATGGATGTAGGAAAGCACAGATTGCAAAACACATCCATGCCAGGAAAATCAAAGCTGAGCACTGTATCTTGATGCCGACTACACTTCTGCGTTCACTGCCAGGTGATTTGGTGTACACAATGTAAAGGACAGATAAAACTTGGGCCAGGATTTTCACAGTAACTTTAACAAGCATGTGACAGAACCGTAGCTTACTTCAGTGTGAAGGATAAAGTCTAAATTAACATCAATTATACTGCATTTAATTACAGATAGGATATAAGTGCATAAAATTATATTGCATTTTCTAATTCCTTTATATGAAAATACTTAGCCAGTCTGTCATTTTGGTGTTTCACTGGGACTTAATTGTTCTTGCTGCAGTTTACCTCATGTAAGGACTAAGGTCTATAGGCTCCCATTTTTTTTGCTGCGTTTGTAAGCTTGAGTCAATAGCTGCTTGTGATGCTTTCTTTTCTGTGGTAAGAGAATCTACAACAGAACAGATTTAACTGGTTATTCACTTATGCTAAGAGGCTCCATCTGAATTCTTATATAGTTTTTTCCTCTAGCTCAGCAAAATACATTATTAAATGAGAATATGAGTTAGAGAGGATATAATATTTCTGCCTTTTTATTTCCAACACTCATGACAGAATCAAAGATGCTGCAAAACCCCAACATGTGCTAGAGTGAATATATGTATTTCAGCTAAATCCACAGTACTCAAGAAGGTTTGTAAATCTAAGCAAGAACATTCAATTTGAAGTGGCTAAAGAATATACAAACAACTTCCAATCAGCAAGGAATAGCATTCTTTTATTAAAAAAAAAAAATAAAAAAATCTGATTGTTCAGTCCTGGCAGTAGTTTAAAAAAATATATATATTCACTTTTGGGCAGAGATTTAGTTTAGGAAATACCAGGTCTGAAGAAAAAAGGTCCCATGATAACTTAAATTTATCCAGTAACTTAAATAAATAATATTTTTTTCAAGTTTCTTTGGAATGCAAGAAGTAACTAATGGTGTGTTTGTTTGCGGCATAAGGTGAGGACTCCTTCTGCTTTAAGTTCTGAAACATTCCCAGGAGGATTACCTACCTGACTGGAAAAATACTAATCTTAACAAGTTATGCACTAGTCACAGGTTCTAGTTCCACGCACGTGAACCACGACCAGATATTGTCACAATTAGACTGGGTATTATTATTGTAGTCTCTGTTTTCTGATGGCCTGACCTCAGCATTATTTTCAGAAGAAAAGAAACAGCAAACAGCCTTGCAGCCAGTTCAAATTCTCATCAGAGTCTGGCAATTGCCAGGGAATACAAATGAAGAATCCATAGAAGTTGTAACCAATAAATAAAATTAGACAACACTTATGGAAGCTGGCAGGAAGCTGCTGCTACTCAGTATGCACTTTTTGACATCTCACTTCCAGAGCACTGCCCATTAACAGTTTCCATGAACATTAACATAAAGAAAAATGCATATTGGAAATATTAGTGCCTTACTGACATGCTATTTCAGGTCCTAAACAATTTTTTAATTTTGATACTAATGACCTCTGGTAGTTGACTGGGAATTGAGGGAGTAGGTATTTTCCACTGAAATTCCAAAACTTTCGGGTTAATTTAGGGTTAGAATTCTAGTACAAAAGTGCTGTTTAAAGTTTGCTTAAGGGTAACTTGGCAGCCTCCGAGAGCCATGAGGCTGTAAATCTGTGTCTGAAAATAGAGCAATGCAAGAATTAAACCAAAAAGGAGATAGTGAAGATAAAAATTAAACATGCATTGTGCATTTGAACACCTTTACTGAGACTGTTCTATGCATTTACTACCAGTATTTAATGCAGAAATCTTTTCTAAGGAGCTGACCATGATGAATATGAAAAACAGATGACATGTTTGACAGAAAGTTATACCCTTACCTCTTTCTCCTGAACTGGGTATTAAACTGTCAGTCTCAGCTATGGGCTCCTCTGAATCTCTCACAGCATACTTATTAATAAACCGCATGCGTTCCTGAAAAGCCTAGAGATCAAAGTTTTAATCAAGATAAGAAAAATTCTACTGCATACTTTAAATTACAAAGAATTTTTAAAACTAGGAATCTATAACTGGTCAATAAGACAGTAAATCTTCAAATCCAGTGCATATGAGATATGATGCTACTTCATACCACTGGTGAGTATATTTCACTGGTTTGATCTATGAAAACATCACCTCTAACAACAGGAGTACCATTAGTGAGTCACTGGGGAGAAAAAAAGATAAACATAAGAGGACCACATTTCATGTGAGAGTCGTATTCAAGCCATCTCTCCAATAGATTTTTTTTTTTTTAAATAATAAGCTGTCAACATTAAATATCCAACTTTTTCTAGTAATATTTTGGAACCTTTATTTGTTTAGTTTTAATGTGTTGTGTAGGGGGCAAACAAATTAGCAGTAGTACTTAAAGTTCATCTTTAATTTATATCAAGTGCGTCTTGAGTATACGAATAAGTACCTGTAAGTAAACCTTTGTGACATGGTAGTTCACTAAAATGAAAAGTAGCAGTACATTTTGAGTGGTTTCACTCCACTTGATACATACTGGCTGTATTTAGTAGTTGTCCCAAATGAGAAAATGATGCTATCAATAACAAATGTTACACCAGAGTACAGTATGCAACTCTGCCTGACCCTGGAATCAGAAAAGATGCTAAGGTCCCCATTAAATCAATCCTGAAATATTGAGTACTTACAGTAAAGATCATCATGCAATGAAATAATGGAAAATCACTGATCTCTGGGCAATTTAAAATAATCTATGGTTTTAAAAAAAAACCCAAACCAACAAAAAAAACCAAACCCAAAACAACCAAACCCTGAAAAGCAAGGTCTGTTCCCTCATTACTGAATGTATGGTAAGAATACATTCAGCTACTGCACCTCCTTAGGGAAATATATCTTCCTCCTAGGAGCTCCTATAGCCTGGTGATTTGGAGTTCCTCCTGAGAAATGGGAGCTATGGCTGCAAACCCTTTAACACTCACCTTTGATGCCAAAACCAGGCATCACCACTTCTACTTGTCTTTTCAGAACGTGACTTGGGCTCACTGGACTTTCTTTTAAGGGTTCAGATTGCCAGAATGGGTGGTGAAGCCACAAGTCAGGTATCTAAGTTGCAGAGTCACAGGGCATGTGACCCCCGGAACAGGCAGATCTTGGGGCAGGGTGATCAGGAAAAAAAAAGGAGGGAAGCTACTTAGTCTGGATATCAGACCCCCAAGTTAGACCTTTTTTTAGCATATTACATATAGTTGCTGCAATTTTCTTAATGATGGTTGTTTTATAAAAATGTCACAGACCTAAGGGGATTTTAAAATTGAACCCTTTGACTGTAATTCAGTTGACTTTCTGATCAAAAAAGGCAACAGTGACAGAACCAGCATTCTGAAGAGACTACACATCAAAGCGGATTCATTCATTCCCAGCTAATCTTTAGGATGCTGTACTTGCATTTTCAGTCTCAGCACAGCCAATCAAAGCTGCAGAGTAATGCATCTCTCCTAGATCAAAATTTAATAAAGTAATGTCAGAAAAACTTTTGAGCTTTGGATACACTGAACAGAAGTGAGAAAATCTGAAATTGTATCTGGTAAGACCTATGTCTGAGGTTCATTTCTGAAAGGCAATATAAAAAAGGCAAATTGCTTCTGAGCTGGGCTTTCTGGCCAAATACCAGTCGAAGGTCATTGGTGGTGGTGATAGGGGATGACTGTTAAGTAAGTTTTAAGACTGCATTTTGGTTTTTTTTTGGTTTTTTTTTTGGTAATGATGCTTCCAATTCTGAATCAGCAGTTTTAACTTTTTGCTTTGCTAGAAAGAACTTGTACTATTTTTCCATCTTAAGCATACATCATGTCAAAAGATCCCAGCTGCAGCTGACATCTGAATTAGTATTGCTTCTCCAAAACAGCGAATTCATACAGAGCAGTATGTACAGGCTCATGGGTAACCTGCAACCCAGAATGAAGTTGGGAATCCTGGCTGTAGGGGACGGTTTGAGTGATGATATGGCCAAGCGCCACTTCTTCAAAAGAAATCTTTTTGGCATGTTTGTAACAGTGTATTTCTCACTAGAATCTGTTCACACTAAACATTAAACTTGTCACAAGTAGCAGCTTTGCAATTGTGTAGTGGTAGTAGGCTTTCTAAGGAGAAACTTTTCTCCGTTTTGTAAAGTCAAATCTAAAATCTCAGTGATCTACAGAAGTCCAAAGGAGATGATCTGGATTCCTGCTCAGAATTCATGCACATAATCACTTTTGATTCTTTAACCTGTGTAAAATTTTCTGTCTTCCACAGAGTCGAAGACAGCCATATGAAGTCATGTCTCTGCTGTGGCAACTGCTCTACCATCACAGCAGCTCCTGGAACTTGGGAATAAACATTACTGCAAAGATTGTGCTCTGACATTACCTTGATAGCTCTTCCTGGCTCTGCAGACTCCCATGCTTGTTTCATGGCTTTGATCTCATCTGCTCGTTGGGTGTCTTTCTTCACTTCCAGAATGTCTGCCTCTCTCTGCTCACTAACTAGACGTAAAGTCCAGTATGGTTTGTTTGAAGCAGCTTGCTGAAAGTGAAGTATCATAATCATAATGTAGTCATTGGTATATATCTACTACTACTATTTAGGATAAAGTTATGTTTCTGTATCCTGGTAATTTTCCTGACTGATATACATTATACATTAATAGACTTTGACATGCATTACTACACAGCAGCTGCCAAAGGAAAGGAAAATTATTTTCCAATGTCTAGAAGCAATTTGAGGTATTCTGTTTATGTGCTTCCCCCCTACTCCCATACAGCTCACTCCACACTTCCAGTTCTTCTCAATAGCCTGTCTGAAGAAGAGTCTTTTGTAGGGATTATTGTCTTGCCTTTCTGTCAAGCTTTTTTTCCTTTCCTTCCCTTCCCTCTTTTCCTTTTCCTTCCTTCCACAAGCTTTTTTACTAGGAGTCTTATTATATTTAACTAGGCTTTTTGTGTAGAAATACACCTTGCTTTGTCTTCTGAGGCATCTGGTTCTTTCCAGTCATTTTCCAAATTCTCCAAACCACTTAAAGGCATGGCTTCTCCAGAACCATAGGGTACAAATAGTGCTCCAAGTGTAGGAGACGATTCTGCTGTCTGGCCAATGAAAGATATTGCGCTGCGTATATTTCTGGAAACTGTACCATCTGCAGAAGTTTTAAGCCCAAGTTTTAGAAGAAGAGACAGGAGTCCAGCTTTTATTTGAGACTAAAAGTGGGCATCTTCTTTATCTGCAAGCAGTTCTATCTTGGAACTTGCATCTGTTTAGTAGCAGACTGAACTTCCAAGAGCTATCATCCCAGCACCCCTAGTCTACCCCATCACTGGCACTGAAGGCAGAAATCTGACACAGCCTGAAGCTGCATTGCATTTCTGTGGACAACAATTTCAAGTGCAGCCACTCAGACTGTTCTGAAAGAATGGTTAAGGCACTATTCCTGAACTCTATATAATTAGGTGTGTGTGGATGTGAATCCTAGGAAAGTTTGCTGTGCAGCAGGTTTAGTCAGCAAAACAATTGAGTACAGATTTCTTAATGAAAAACTCTATGGAGATGTCCTCCCTTTGAACTACCTGCCATGAGGCAGCAAAATTCCTAGCAAAAGCAATACCATTAAAGAGGAGCTGTCAGTTTCTTCTTTGCCTTCCATTATTCTGTTTGCAATCCATAAAGTCAATTATTCCTTTTAAGGCATACAGGCTGGAAGTAGCCTTTCCATCAACCACAGAACACACAGATTATCCCACCACAGATGAGAAAAGCAGGCAAGTAGGTACCAATTTTTCTGCCATTGTATGCCTGCATGCTAATGACAGTTGTGACATGTGAGACAGGAACTGACTATAGCAGAAAGACCTATTTCATCTCCTTGGGAACCCATGAAAAGCACTACAACGAGTGATTAATGGGGCATGAATATGGTGAATTCATGGAATTTACTAAACCTTCAGCAGAGACTAGAAACTAGACCAACAAAAGGAACAACCAATAGTTGCTTTATACATAAACAAAGTAATGAGCATATTACATCTCTAGTCTGTTATATGTGTAATTCAGTCTCTCTCAGGTCTAATGCTAAAAAGGTGTCAAAGCAAGGCATAGAGAAACATAAGGGACACACTAGAAGTGCTAGTAATACTGATCTGCAGACCTTGAAATATCTTTATACTCAGTACAATGATGGCACATTCAACAAATCCTATTTCTTGGATTTGTTCTCACCTGAGATTCAAGTTGAGATGCAAGAGACACAATTGATCCTCTTTCTTTATTGAACTTCTCTTTTTCTGTCTTCTCGGATCCTTTATCTTTTGATTTTCTGGTTTGTTTAGGAATATTTGCAGACTTTTGTCCTTCAGAATGATTGGACATTAGGGGAAAGCTATGCTCCTCAGGCTTTTCCCCATATACTATTCAGATGTAGTTATGATGCATGATGAATTAGAGGATACCATTGTCATCCATAAATATATTTTGCCATATAAAATCCATGGTGGAAAACCAGCACAAAACAGCCATAAAGAAAAAGAAAAGTCAGTTCATTAGTTGTCACTTTCAAGTACTACTATTGTTGGGTCAATAAAGAATTTGGGGACATAACAACTTTTGAAAACAGACTTACAAGGTGGGCATATTGTGACAGCCTTATCTGTCCTAAATAGCACTTTACTCTGGGCTTAACTGTGAGTTTGCCATGGTCCCTGCACATCAGTCACTGCATTGTTGCCCTGTGTATGGGTCAGTCCAAAGACTGCAATGTACAGAATCACAGTCTGGCTCTTATTTCTCTTATATAGTATCATACAATCTCTGTCAGTGTTATGCACCAAGCAGGTGAGAAGCTCAAAGTAGGTAAAGTCAGTGTTCTCACTGTCTCATATTCTTGTAAGCCTGAAAGTATGAAGAGCAGAGGGAAGATATGCCCCACCAAAAATGCAAGGAAGTTAGGGCAAACAAACATACTTGAGATCTGATGCATAATTAAGAACTTTAAAATTATAATTCTCAGAACTATCTGAGAACATTTTGGATTAATTATTTCATCAGTACATGTCTGTGTTATATGTATGCTGTATGTTCAAATTAAAGCTGCTGAAAGTTGATATTTGTTAACACTTTTTCTGCACTGTTTTAGCTGGTGGGAGCTGTTAACAAGACTTTGTGCACATCATATTCTTGTTTAAATAAATAAATAAATAAATAGATAGATAGATAGATAGATAGATAAATAAATAAAGCCTGTAATAGCATATAGCTTTAATAGCACAAGGAGCAACTCAACTGAAACAACTTGTAATGGACCCACAACACTGTAAGAAAGATTAAAAAGTCTGAAATCTCTGTTTCTTTCTACCTTCATACTGCTTGAAACAGTAAAACAAATGCTGAAAACCGAGATTTAGTCAATACAATCAAACAGGATTTCTCTTAGAAAAAAGGAGGAAATGAGTGACTGTTTTACAATCTGCCAATAACAACAAGGTACCTTTCATTCAATGCTATGCTTTTCTAATCTCTTTCCACTGAGGACAAATCACTGTGCTGCGATTTGGTCCAAAGTGCACTAAAGATATTCCACTGGCTTTAACGAGCTTTGGATCAGATCTGCAATGTCATGGCTGAGGTTACATAGATATATGAAATTGTAAATGTTAAATATACAGAGAAACATATTTATAATACACATATAACTACACATACAAATTATAAGTGTATTACATTATACACATCTTTATGTATAAATTGCATTATTCTTATCTCTTCATGCTACTTAAATAATGTACAATGGCACCAAAGTGCTAAGCTTAAATTGATTCAATGCTACCAAAGCATACCTTAAAGAATGAAAGCAAAAATTAAAGTGATCTCCACAAATATTGAAGATACTAAAACAACTCCAGAGGAAATGTAAATGCAAAATAAATAGTGATGACATTATTTGAAGTTATAATATCATTACATAAATGGCTTTCCATTTAATTTCACATTATCATAACATATTAGCACCATAAAATCAGGCTGGTGTACATGCATTATTCAGTGAATTATTAATTTTTAAAGATAATTTATTTACTGTTTATACAAACACTCAAGAGACATTCAGTGTCATTAGCTAACTGATATCAAAGGCTTTCTATGTCATGGAATACCACAAGCTTTGTCTAGCTTCTATAAATATTTTACAACTCTGAATTTGATGCTCTAGATGCTCTGGACTTATTGCATATACTGAGAAGTTAGCAAATAACAAACAAGCATATGAAATGACAGGGCTAAAATGATGTATCCTGCTTTCACTCCTGATGCGGAGGCTCAGGACAGGATTCGGCTGAGCTCTCAGCCAACAGTACACTGCACTACCCAGGTTCCCCCCAGTCTCTTCCCTCCTTCCCTTCCTTCCTTCCTTCCTTCCTTCCTTCCTTCCTTCCTTCCTTCCTTCCGCAGAGTGGGCAGTCTCCCTGATTTTGGAATCATCCTCCGGGTATTCCTGGGACGGGGCACTGGCTGCAGTTTGGCAATATAATAATATAGTGTGCAGCCCACTCTGACTCTAAGGGAGATGTGAGTAGTTCCTTTTCCCAAGGCCAAAGCCAGGCAAATGCTTTGTATGGGATGTGAGAAGAAGAAAAGCAGGGAGGTGGTACAGAAAGTAAAAGGCCATGTCTGAATTCTAGCTCACAGTTTATGCATCAATCATCACAAACTCTCGGTGGCAGTTATTGTATGTGTATGGCACCAAGAAAAGCTCAGGCATCACACCAATTGACAGGGATGAGAAACAGCTGATAGCAACTCTTAAAATTAGCTTCTCTACCACTTTTCAATCATTTACCCAGAGATTCATTTACTCTAATGCCAGAAGGGATCATAGTGATCATCCAGTCTGATGTCCTGCTTATGACAAGCTAAATATTTACACCAAATGATTCCTATCTGGAACTCATGGCTTCAGATTGAGATACATCAATTCTCTTTTTCAGGCAAGATAGACAGATACTCCTAGTTTATGAAATTCAAATTACAGAGAATGTACCTTATTCATAGGTAAAATGCAGAAGAGTGTTTTGAAGTTTTTTTTGAGAAGATATTGTGCTCCCACTATCTGAAATAGGCTCTAAGCATTTAGTGGGATTACCCAGTAGTTGGTAGAAATGACTGTTACTTGCCCCACGAGAGACTTTCAGATTTGCTCAGGAAATGACTGAGAAGTTCAGACGTTGCTTTTCCTGTCTCTGGTTGGACCCTCAGAAGGATTCTTGAGAGACAGGAATGTCAAAAATCTTTCCAAAGTTGGGCTCATCCAGACACTGAAGTTAAAATAAAACCGCACCAGGATAGAAGAAACCACCAATATAGGTTGCAGTAGTAGGGTGGGGTTAGAGCATGGCGTAGGGGTCTTTAAACTCTAGTACTGTCATGTCTTCTCAGTGACCTATTTATTCACTGAACACCAGGCAAGGTGGGAAAAAGATAAAAGATTTCTCATGAAATCCTGACCTTGGCACAAGCCAGCAAGTTCTCCCGCGGAAAGAGAAAACCTGTGGGAGAAGCTTTCCCAGCTCTGGAGAAAAAAAGGTATATTCCGAAGGATATTGTCCCTCCTGCCTTTTCAGACCTACCTCTGCTGCCTGGGCTGGACACCCTGTCTCCCCCCTGCTCTCCCAATTGGATAGACAGCCTTCTCTCATCAACAGTTAGTACTCTTTGAGTTAACTAAAGGCAATATATAAAATACATGCTGCAGTCAGCATTCAGTGCACACAGATGATTCAACTCTGGGTTGTGACAGTTGCACAATGAAACTACTGATCTTACTACAAGAAAAATAAAACCAAAGAACCCAAAAAGGCAATAGCTCAAAATCGTATATACAAAACAAATCTTAAAATAATTTTGTTCGCACAGTCAAGCAACTTAAAATGCTATTAGCAACTGCAAGATTGCCTGATAATTTTTTCCCTTTTACACAAGAATTATGATCCAGGCAGGCCTTACTTTTTAAAACTATTTTTCTATTGAAGTCTTGCCCCATTAACAGTTCCCAACATAAGGAAAAAAATAAATAAAAAAAAAAGAATGAAAACCATATAAATAATACGCTATCTGGCACGTTCTAATTTCACTGTACTTTCTAATTTCACTGTACTTGAGTTTTCCTGGTTAATGTCTTTTTAATGTTTTGTTTGTGCATTGTGCTCTTTAATAAAACATTTAATGAGATTACATATATAATAAATATGACTAAATATTAGTCATTGAATAACTTTTGCTAACATAGTTCTTTCTACAAGTACTGACAAACTGCACTATCAAGGATTTTGAAGAGAGAAAAGAATAATATACATCAACAAATACAAAATACAAAATTATCATAGCATCTGTATGCTGGAGAACTCACTTTCTTCAAAGATGTTATTTAGAATAATGGTGAATATTGATAGTATAATAATATGGGTCTTCATTTAATGGGAGACTAGTTTAAAAGAATTCAGTAACTGCTAGTACAAGCTGAAATATGCTTTTGCCATGATAAATTAGCATTAATACCAAACAAACTCCAGATGGCACTGTTGTCTTACATGAAAAAGTGATACTTGAAATGGTGAAAATTTGTTGCAGGAATTTTCCACCTGATTCACTGCAACTTTCTTAAAAATCCCATAGTGAAAGGATGCCACCAACATTGCTATTATATGAACTGTGTGTTTGAAAACTGGTGCTGGCAACATTAAATGGTAAAGCACAGTTTTCAATTTGCTTTAAGCTTAGTTTACAATCAGAAGAAGATTCAAAGATTAAATGTTATTTTTTTCCAAAAAACTTACCTATAGTAAGCACTCCAGAAAGATATTGCTGTTAATAGGGGTACATAAAATAAATGCTAAGTAGTAAATGCAGTAAGTGTTGGTGTTTAAATTTCATGAGATATGTTGGTTTTAAACTCTGTTGGTGGCTTGGGCAATCTGTTGATATCCTTGCATAAACAGAAACATCGAGTTCATATGAACTGTGAAATGGATTTGGGTTACTTTCAAGGCAGCAATGACAGGACACAGAAATCACAATGTTTAAAAAGAATCCTAAGAGAGAAATGTTCGTTATCACTGACTGTGGCTTGAGCCACAGCATTGGTTAACATGGAGAAGGAAGGCTACGAACTGAAATATTGCTACTTTGCACTAAACATGAGAATACTCATGACACTGACAAGCTTCAATAGTAACAGCTGAGAACTAGTGAAGGAACTTAGAGGTTAAATGACGTCCTTTGAGCTGCAGTTTTACAGACCATGGGATAGCTGTGTGAAAAGATACACACACCAGTAGTGTAACCTATGTAGCCAACTCAAAAGAATAAGACAATGTAATAGG